ATGATGGAAATGCACAGATCGGAAATCTCCAAGATCGAGAGTCCCAACCACAGCATTTGTTTTGCTAACGCGGGATGATTATATCCTCTACTGTTTAATATGAGCGGATAATGTACACTAGAGGAGTTTGCCAGAAATGCAGTTTGTGCTAAGTTGTTAAAGATCCCTACGTGATCACCAACGCCTCATTTAACAATTTTATTTTGGTAAAGTTGGGCCAATCGGTATGCGTCACAGACAGCAATATCGATCACGTAGATAGTAGCGTCCCGACAGTTGAATAGAGCTGGCTTGATGTAAGTCGTTGGCGTGTACATGCCTGGTTCTGGGATGACTGTAGCTCCCCGACAGCGTAGCATCGTTGCAACTTGAGTGGCAATGTCATTGTGCCGTTTGCAGCGTGCGTCGTGGGTTACGCTGCAAGACTGCAGCACCTGAGAGATTGATTCGTTTTGCCCACATGCACCGCGATAATTGAGATCTGATGGAGAACGCGGTGACCTACCTCCGGCTCCTCTGACTTTTGTAGGACGGACGCCTGCAAGTAATTGGGTTGCCCTGATAATATACACGGGAAGACGCATGCAGGTTGCCGGAGCCATCAATGAGAAATTGCATGCGTTAAAGCTTGATGTAGGGGGGATCCGTCAACTCTAGCAAGTAACTGAGTCTTCCATACTTCCTTTGCTGAGGCTTCATCCGTCGCAGCTTGCCGACCTACGATGAGTGGCGAATCAGATAGCCGATGTATCGCAGAGGCAGAGGGGTCACGAATGGTCCAGTTCAGGATGGCATTCGCATTGGAAAGGTGTCGCTCCAATCTACCTTTCCGAACTAATGGCAACATGGTTGAGAGACTAGGAATGCCTAAGCCGTGGTCCATGAAGATGTATGAAGAAGGTAAACTGCTGCACCTTCGGGTAATGTTGACCTTTTGCGAATGTTGGTTCTGGTTAATTTTTCCATCGTTTTGTCTGTCTACACGTATTATTGTAAGCGATAGGTCGTAGATGTGTCGTAGGATGAGGATAGTCCTGAGAATTTCGATTCGTTTTTGTTTTAATGTGCTTGCGAAGTTTCTTGGAGTTATTGACGCAGTTCATCGAGGGATTGAGGCGGTAGCTTGCCGTGCCAGTTAAAAGGTAAACTTACATGAGTCCGTCGGTTGGACTGATGAAAGATTCATCGATCCAACTTATAGGTCAGTAGTGTCCGGTAACACTTTCTGCCTAGATCAATCGATGGCAATGTTTACAGTCTTATCTGGTTTGTGGAAAGGCCAATAAGTTGGAACTCATTGCTGAAACTTAGGAGTTGTTCCTGTACTCTATCTTTGTTTTCCGCTACGATGATCACGTCGTTCGTGTATGCAATATACTCAATCGGGCCTGCGGGACGCATCCAACGACGGGAAGCTGGCTTTTGAAGAGGTTCGTCGAACATCATGATAAAAAGTGCAGGTGAAAATGGGTCCCTTTGTCTAACGCCTCGTTCTTGCTGAATTCGCACCGCCCGGAACCTTGAGATCGCCTCAGAATAGTAGGAGGACAAGGAATCAAAATAAAAACATAAGAACCCCAAAAGTGGATGCAGCTCTAATTATTGAGTCCTGGGATATGGAATCAAAGAGCTTTGAAATGTTCACAGAAGCGAGAGATGGGGAGCAGTGGAAGTGAAAGAAGCGAATCATTAAATGAAGGGTAGATGAGGCCTCAAAGCATCCGTCTTTCCTGAGAAAGCCGAATTGTAGGCGGTCAGATGAAATGGATGACATCCAGCGCTCAGAGGGAATACGATAGAAGGACGAGTGAAAACGGAGACCAGCTATTGGGCGGAAATGTTCGGGAAGCGTGGGGGACGGGATCTTTGGGGTGGGGATTCTAGCCACATTAAAATGTGAGGGTATAGGTAAGAGGCAAGTACGCAGTTCACAAAAGATGTAACGAATTGGGGATTTATACGTTCAACGTCTTTGTGTGTGATGCGGTCGACGCCAGGTGCTGAGCCAGCCATCTGGCGTAGCGATGAGCGAAATCCAGATACGGAGATGGCTTCGACTGGATCTATTTTGGGCGGGATAATCACGCGTGGGTATCTGTGGTCAGGCTCTGGTGTATTGGAGAGTACCCATGTCCACTATCCGATGAAGGCTGGGATTATTTCCTTTTGTTGTTGATAAGAAGTCTGCCATCGAACACCGTTGCCGCCGCGTCCCGACACCTAAGATGCTAAAGACGTTGGATGTGACCGAACTGGAGTCTACGTCGTTGTTTGCTGTTCTGAATGTTTTTAGTGTGGTTGCGCGGTTTGGATGGCTTCCAAGTATGTGAGAATCAAGGCTGACGAAGGTTGTTGAAACGCATACTGTATTCGTGTCGGGAACGGTGGGTGAGCGTCGGCTAACAGATTTAGAAGCTCGGTTATCCGCACTTGGGTTAAATCCTCACATAGCTGGAGTAGACGGCTAACCTCTCGGAGCAGGTGTTGCAACCTGTTCAGTGGGTGGGCAATGTTCCGAAGTAGGCTTGATGCATGCTTGTGTGTGGAAAGATTTCACACAAGAACCGTCAAGATCCATTTGTACTCGCCGACCTATGGGAACACATTGCACGAGGTAAACACCAACACTCGTGAACGCCGTGGGGCGGGTCAGAAGCACGTGCGCACATACGCAGACAGAGAACATGCTGTATCGTACAACGTATGCGAAGCCGCCAAGTTCAGCGGTTGTGGATTAGGAGAATTTCGCATGCTGCAAAATCCCGCTACACACACTGTTACTTGAACAAACGATCGGCGCCCATTGCACAGTGAACCTTCACATGCTCAACTTATCGAGGTTAAATTAGTCACGACTGTTATGGCCCAAATGGTCAGCATACAACTTGCAGCAGTGGTCAACCTACAGAGGTCTGTTTCCATAAGTTTCACATGATGAACGTCCAACCCATAAAAAGTTGCCAACTTATAGAGGTGGCCAACTTTGGAGGTTCTGCTGGATATATCTGTATATGTGCTTGTATGTATGCGCTGAGGCTGATGTTGCATTCTTGATGCTTCTTCACCACAGTTGGGCTAAACCAACTTACACTTGAACTAGGTCTTTTTCAGCTAGATACATTTCATTCCACTTTATTTGGTTTGTTCTGCCTATCTGAATACTCTTCTATTAACTGGCCACGTTGCTTACATTAATTGCGCTTATCTTCGGTAACTTTGTTGCGTTTTGTAGCATTTTTAACTAACTTGTGGACTTATTTCCTTATCGCGGATTCATTGCTAACCAACTTACTTCGTATGCTTATTTAGCTTAGAGTTATGCCACCGTATTTGTATGCATTATTGGATTTGTTTTATTTCATCTTGTCGTTCCAGGTGATTGGCTTTTGCATGATATCCCCGGTGTGGCTGCTCTTGATGTGCATGTTGACAAGGTGCCTACCTGTCTATTACCCACTACCTCGTCCATACTGGCTCCAGGAGACAGTTGGTCGTTGTTGGAGGGGACGGGGTGCACGGTCCTTGTGGCCGTGCTAGGCTCGAAGGGTGGTTCCATGCACTCAGTGTGGAGCGGACTACGGTCCAGCCACCGCCTTGTGTGCGCTTGATTCCCTAAATACAGCGTGCTTGTGTTTGCCTGTGAAAGAGTGTGGGCCGGCTCCGTTGATGAAACGTGGCTCCCATCCACATGCCTCCCGGTCTATTCCTTCGGGTTTACACTGGATATGTGGTGTGTGGTTGGAGCTGTGGGTGGTGCAGCGCAAGCCACCCATGGTCCCTCTGTAGGCGCAGGCGTTCTGTGGCTGGCCACAGTGACAGGCAAATCCGAAACCGGATACCGCCAACCATTATATACATATATATATATATATATATATATATATATATATATATATATATATATGGGTTTGCCCTCGTGTCTAAATGCATATCTATTTTTACCTCAACGTCTATCTGAACTTGCACAGGTTGCTTATGCTATTTGTGATTGATGGTTGTTTGATATCCCCAGTGTGGCTGCGCTTGATGTGCATGTTGACAAGGTGACTATCTGTCTATTACCCACTACCTCGTCTTCACTGTCTCCAGGAGACAGTTGATGGTTGCTTTTGTTATGGAACTAACGTTGACTACCCGATAGTTGGGAATTAGGTCACTGACTTCTAGATTGGACGCCGTTGGATTATATTGTCCCCCTCGCGATGCTCTACGTAGATTTTGCTTATATCCTTCCAGGGCACGGCACCCGCCGGTAGCTTACGACTAACGCAGCGGGATCATCTGTGGGACAAAGTGGACTATGACGCAGGGTAGTGCGAACCGTAAAGAAGCTGTGTCTCTGATGTCGCCTAACCCTGGGACAGTAACCATCCGTTCATAACAGTAATATCCACAATCACTCCGAATGTTATTTTGGTCTCTGTTTTATCCCAATCCCATGTATCTTGCTATTCCTCTTTAGTAGGGCCATCTACCCTAATGTACGTTCGTATGACATCGATTCGCCAGTACAAAGTGATGTTCTTTTTGTTGTTGATGGTAATATCGATGGCGCTTTACTTCTTGCCGACCTCTTCTGTAGTATCTGATCCATACGCAGCAATCCATCGCCACTCTCGTTCTTCTTTGATTTGTTTAAGGCGGATACCTGACTTCGATGGTTCGTGTTGTTGTCGGCTGACGTTTGCACCACTACTCTGTGCCTGGCTTCACAATCACCATTTGTGCTAACTGTTAAGAATTTTGTTGAGTTTGAAGCACCCACGGTGTGTATGCGTCGCGACGTACACTCACTTGGGAATGGAGTTTGATTTGCACATAAATCACGGTCCCAACCAATATTTGCTATCACAATACAAACATGCTAAGTACTCCAGGCACAACGACAATTGAGCGTTTTTATTTTGATCACGTTGATTTGACTTTCTTCGGCTATTTGGACATGCGCGTTGAACTCGATGTCTGATGCATGTTACTCCACAATTCCTCTACATCCGCAGCTTCTGTGCCGCAGGTTCCAAGTAAGTCGATACTTTTCCGTACTGGTACTCGTTTCTTTTTACTGTCTGCTTTTCATACGTTACGGCTTCGTCCTAAAAGCTCATAAACTCGACAATCTAACCACTAATCAGGAAAAGCGCCAGACTGCTGTTTCGCCCTATTTGGGCTTTTCGTTGTTGCGCCTTTCCTCCGTCCCATTCTGGGAACCGAACCAATGACCGCTAGCAGCCTATGCCGCTGAGCCATGGGGGGACAGTAGCAGACTGTCGTAACTTGCATTTCATTCCGCCAAACTGTCTACTTAATCGGGTGAGCAAATCACGGATGCGCCCCCTATCCGTCGAAGAAATTGCTTTACACTGGTTCGCTTAATGCCCTCTCCGATTTGCATATTTTCCGTAAATTCTTCATTCACTTTCTGCTTGGCAGTGTAATTTTTATTGATCAACCTGATGTCAAATGGGACATCGCAAGCAATTTCTTTTCGCTAAATCTCCTCAGACAATTACAATTATGAACCTCATACTTCTTTGTGTAGTAGCTGTTGTTAGCGATGCGACGCAAAGTCGTGAATGCTGTGACCGATGAACAGTGACAACCTGTATTTGGACCCACTACCATTGACCACTATGCCAGAAGTCAGCTGACCAGACTAGGGCCACGGTAGGGTTAAACTCTGCATAAATACCCGCTGTTTTCACAGTTCCGGCTTCAGTTGCTTGTTCACAATTGCTTATACTGTGACCAGTCGGCGCTCCCTGAGTCCTTTTACGCTGCATTTTGATGCTACATACACTATTTTCCAGGCCTCTTTCGTTTGTATGTTAGGTCCTCTATCTATTAGGTGTTCTAGAATGGAGCTGTGGACTTTTCTAGTGGTACCACGCTGTAATGACACACGACAGTGTTCAACTATCTGCTTTGACAGACGTCTGGTCATGTGTCCGAGGTATCGCGCACCACAGGTGTAAGTGAACCTTAGCAATTTTTCATTGCCTTAAGTTTCTTGATTCTGATTTTCTGGGTTTTTTTGAGACACTCGTTATGCGACCGAATCACGACACTCAATCTCAATGTGGACTGCGGTTAGGTTTGCTGAAAATCACGCTCCCTGGACAGTACCCGATACAATGCACACCTGAATTCACCCCAGCCATTAACCGTTGTGTCAAGCGTTGCGCGCGCGGCTCCGTTATGGGGCGGGGTTGGGATGGTTATACCGTACCAACCGGTAGTCTGTGTTGCGGGTTCCAGAAGCCACTCTGCTGCCTTTCAAGAACCAAAGGTGCGAACGGAGTTATGTACTGTGACAGACATCATCAATCAAATGCATCAGCTCTTATCCCCCTCAACCGTCCCTCTCATTTTCGAACTCTCTCCCGTAGGTTGTGTGGCACACGGTAACGTTTTACTCATCTTCGCACACTCCTGTGGGCTACGTGACGCGCGCTGCTTCGGAACTTATCCCCTCTACCGCACAAATATCTGTAGCTCCTAACCGTTTATCTTCTGTCCGACCGTTAGTCCGATACCATATGGCTTTGTTGGTACTTTTTATAGTACCGACAATTGATGTAGTAGTAGTACCTGCTTCTGGCCCTGATGAGTACAGCCCATGACCACTTTCGTTCGAAGCCGGTCGTTAAGTACTATGTGTTACGCGAGCGGTGAACACTTCATATTTCTCTCCCCACCTCATTCACTGCACTCGCCTATGGTAACAACTGAAGCTTCAATTTGAAGCATTGAATCCCCTGTTATAGCTTAAATGTATCTACAAGAAGACGCATGTTGCAAGTTGGCACCATTTCAAGCCTTCTGTTCACTTACAAATGAGCTGATCTTATGCTTCTATTGAAGCTGCAATGCTTGTTTGACTAATTCGCTCGCACCCTCAACCCACTTTGACTTTCGGGATATGTTAAAGTTGTTCTCACATTTTTGTCCGAATGCGCGTTCCGATGGTAGCGTTTTATCTTGCCATTTCCCCATCTAAAGTCTGTTGAACTTCACCTCGTTTCTCAAGAACCTGAAACCTTGCTTTTAGTTATGTTTGTCTCCGTGTGATATGTCTTCTTTCGGAATTATCCTTTTCGCCTTTGACCTCTTATACCAATATATTAAAGGTGTTTCCACTTCTCAGACTCAAACTATAGCTCCCCATAGTAAATTTATTTCTCAGTTATGCCAACTATTGTGAATTCTAACGAATTACTTAGAGACAAGCTTCCTCTATTCATATGGGGTTCGTTCAGTATTTGCGACTATAGCAACCATTCGTGTTGTCTGGTTCATCATTACCGAAAGGAATGCTCGCGGAATGGTGCGATCGGCTGAAAACACAGCAGCTACGGCTCAGACAAGCTGATTGACCTTCATTCCACAAGGATTTACGTTTCTTCGCCACTGCGGTTTGGTCACTAAGCTATTGTACTGCTAGTTCCGGCGAAACACAACTCTTATGCCGTACTGAGTCGTTCATTTATTCTACACCTTAGCTGAAAGTAACAATTACCTCACCTAATGTGCCACAGTACACTGCAGTGGAATATTCGACAAACGACGTTGAAAAGAATGATTAATACAGGGTACAAAATAGAAACAAGTATACATTATATTTTTGTTACTATGCATCGATAGAGAGTGTGGTTGGAAGTGGAAGCTAAGTGGGATGTGGAGGGACAAAGGAACTCATGTCGCATTGCCACTAGAGTTCTTTCTTCACCATGTCAACAAACGTCTCCAACGAAACGCTTTCATCATGTCTGGGACTCCAACCCTGAAGTCTGCTCTTACGCCTCATTTTGCCCGAACTACGCACATAAAGCGCTCCGTGGATGTTTATAAATCACGAAGCGGTGTATACCTTGACAGTGCAAAGCACAATCTGAGTGGTATGATCACTTTGTATTTCTCGGGCACACGTTAATCAAATGGCTCTTAAAAGTGCATCCGCCCGCTGAGTCGAAAGCACTTTACATACTAAAGGACACGATTACTTTTGGCCGCCAATATAAGTGGCAGTTCTCCAAAAACCGGTGCATAGTAGAGATGTGATCCATACATCTTCAGTTTCAATGAAACCCTATTTGTTCTTCACAAATCTGGCTTTCACACGTACCAGTCAGTTTATTGGGAAAGGCTGAGATAAGTAATTTAGAGACGATAGTGATCAAACTGATACGTCGATGACTGCTGCATTCCAAACAATTGGTCTTCCTTGAGAATCAAGAGTAAGGTATTAAGTTAGTATGGCAGAGTTGGGTAGTGTGGGTTTCACCCACTGATTACTGTGCCATGACGAATGTGCCTCACCCACCCACCCACTCACGAACTCTGATTTCCTTTTTTGTCCTGATACTGCATTCCTTCATTCATACTCTGTTCCTCTTTACCTTGGTTCCATGTTTCCCCTTAAACTCCTTACCTCCGCCTGCTGCTTGTTTTTCCTTCACCACCTGAATGATTCGCGTTTCGGTAATTTTTTTCCCTCACTCTGTGAACCGAACTGCTTAGGCTCTTCGCAACTCGTGTGCAATGGTCTACCTGGCCAGCAATATCATTTGTTCTCACATGGAGGTGTATCGCGATGGGCGTGTTCGTTTACTCTGCCGATGGTCGCAGTTTAGTTCGCTTCAGTCTAGTTTATCCGCCTTAATTACGAAGAACTGGAGATTCCTTCCTTTATGAGGAGGTCCCTGGCTGCCGACCCCTAGCCTAAAGGACCACCAACCTGCCTTGTAAACTGAAGGAGCGGGTTCGAGCCTGTGTAGGGACCGGGCGACTCTCGTAATATTCTTAGCCTTCGTGCGACTGGTGGTGGTGGCGCGGCAGCTAGGCGTCAGTACTGCGTACCAGCGTACTGCTGATGCTGAGAGCTTTCTTCAAACGACTACGGGGAGACGGATTTTCCATCCAATACTCTGCTATTTTCCTCACTGTCCAGGCCTGATGTTTTTACCGCACCGGATAATTTGCATTCGAGTGGCTTTCTTGTTCGTTACCGCTTTGCAGATCATGGAAGGTCGGAGTTGTGGTTTAGTTCGATAGGAAGTTCAGTTAGCGAAGAGATCTCTTTTCAGTATTTCTGGTCAAACTATTAGAAAGAATCAGGCAACACAGTATGCTACTAAAACTTAGGTTGAAGGCTGCTAATCTACAAGCATTTGAACCAGACCAATAAATTACATCAACACTTGGATTGATTCATTGGAGGTAGATTTCGCAACCAACGGTACGCTACCAGTGTCCCACACCCAGGAGTTACCGCAGAGCCAAGGCAAGAGAGCGTTCGACTTACATAGTCCAAATTGCATCAGTCTGATGGCGTTTGTTTCAGCAGTCTTCAAGAGACGCTTTCTGAGCGCTTTCGGATAACATAATGGCACAGAGTTAAAAACGCATCTGTCATCAACATTTCATGACCGCTTTCAAGCAAACATTCTGTGATAGCAACCTTGCAATCTTGGGCAATGTTCTGCTACCCGTTTTGACAAACACCTGTTTCATTAACGCAGTAAGAAGACATAGATTGCGATATGTTACCATTTCGATTGCTCTCGTCATACGCTACGCAATACAGACAAAAACACACGCAATATATAGGGTCCAGACTTAGTAACATAAATAAGCAGATAAAATTGATGGGAATGACGTAATCAGGTCCAAGGCAATCTAATTGATTGCCCGTACAAACTTCGGAGAAGAAGAATGTTTATCTGTGCTTACCCTTCAAGGGGGATCACTTAGCAAATGAAGTTGGTCACAAGCTCAGGTCCGCTCTATTGCGCACGTACTCTACCGCCAAACTAAGACTTATTCACACTACACGAAGGATTCCTCTCCACATCCCTCCGAGCAGCGCGCCAATCAGTTCGGCCTCTAACCTCATCTATCAGTTCATTTGCAGTTGCGGGGACACTTACATAGACAATACTGGTCTCCGGCTGGCTCAAAGGGTGGCGGAACACTTCCCATTGTGGCTAAGGCAGTTGCTGTCTAACCAAGGCGGAGCGAACCAAAGAATGAACCGGAACCCTGCCTCGTCTATCACCAAACACCTCATGCTGACTCGTCACCAGGTGAACCCAATCGATTCATTCAGGGTGCTATTGCGCAACAGGAACCCGACGTTGTTGGCAATTGGCGAGGCGCTACTGTTAAGTTTGAAGTGTCCCGTGTTCTGTGCCCAGAAACAACTGAGGCAATCAATTAGGTTGCCTTGGACCTGATTACCTCATTCCCATCAATTTTATCTGCTTATCTATGTTACTAAGTCTGGACCCTATATGTTGCGTGTTTTTCTGCCTATAAGGTGTAGCGACTGACGAGAGCAATCGAAATGTTAACATATCGCAATCTATGTCTTCTTACTGCGTTAATGAAGTGGTTGAAGGGGACTCCGTGTTTCAAGTTTCTTAAAAAACACCTGTTTGTGTGTCAAAGATATCTTACACGTTGTGTAACATAAGGTACAGTCCGCGCTAGCACACGTTTGTGGGCGGCTGGGAAGATTTTGGCCACAGCTCTTAAAAGTCTTCTCTCCTGATAATCAAGGACGTCATCCCCTTTGAATGGAACTGAGAGAAACACTGAAGTATCGGAAACTTGGGCCAACCAAACCACATTGGTTCGACAAAGAGTATGGCAAAATGGTTTGGCGAAGGCGTAATTTGTGGGATAGCTTCCTCCCTGGCTGTTCCAAAGGCTTCTGAAAATTTACAACAGTGCCAAAGGAAGCAACCTCCGGCATTTCAAAAGCAGCACGTAGCTACCTCAAAATTCGCCCGTAAAAGAATGTTTGGTTACTTGAAGCGGCGCCTGAAATCTGCAGGTGATCTATCAGTGCCAGTGGGCTCAGACAGACAGCACCTCACCTCCGGCATTGAGCTTGCGTCCACCTTCGCGACGCACTTCACTTCCGTATCTGCCAACGACCAGGTGCCTGTATCGAGTTCAACATGTACCGCGCTTACCGAACTCGACAGTCTGGTTTGCGGAGTTGAAGTGCTGCATCAACTACTCGTCAGCCCTGATGAACTCTACCCACTGATTCTCAAACCCCTTCTAGCTATCATCTCGCTTGTCGCGACTGACTTGTTTAATATGTTACTGTTCAAAATTTCTCACCGAGCGACTGGAAATGCTCAGTCGTAAAGCCGATTCCGGAAGTCGGTGACCCCAACATAATGGACAGCTGCAAGCCGATTTATCTGACACTTATTTTGGCCAAGATTGTGGAGAAGGGTCTAATACAGCTGCTCCATTCAAAAGATCTACTGAAACACGCATAGCATGGTTGTATGCTTGGTCGCTCATTCATCACCAACCTGCTGGTGACGAGGCATGAATGGTAGCAGGCAGTGAATCAGGGACAGTCTGTGAACGTAATTCATGTCGATTTTAGCAAGACTTTCGACAATGTAAACCATGAACGTCTCCTCGACAGGCTGATAGTCTGCGGTTTTTGATTGATCACTGCATTAGTGGATCCTGGAGTTTCACTTTGGGACCATCCAACCGATTGATATCCCTCTACTACTGGTGGACTACTAATCCAAGGTACGGTGTTGGGGCCCACTGTTCGTAAACCACACCAACCACCTGTCCCAGCTTCTTCGGTCGCCGTGTGCTCTGTTTGCGGATGACCGGAAGATTTGGAGATTGATTAGCACCCCGGAAGACGGCGGGCTACTTCAGCTGGACCTCAAAGGTATCTGCATGTTGTCCGCAGAGCATCGTCTCCCAATCAACCCAAGCAAGTCGGTATTCACTAGCCTGGGGAAGCGTGGTAACGGTCGAACTTGCACCGTTGACTGTCAACTGCTATATCCCGCTCCTTCTGTGAAAGACCTAATCATACTCTCGCACTGGGATATAAAATCCGTGGATAACACAAACCGACGGTGCATGGTTTGGCGATCAAGCTCAGCTTCTGTACTTGGTCTAAAGAGGTCGCCACTTACCTCTTCTCTTCCACCATAAAATCAAAACTGGAGTACGGCTCACCTGCCTACTATCCAATCACACGAGGCATAAAAGATCCAACGTGTCCAACTCGTTGCTACCGGCCCCATTCCAAGTTTACGAGAATTATCGTACAATGACCGGTGCGAGAAACTAAGGGTCTACCCCTTGTCCTATCGTCGGGTGTGAGTCCATCTCATCATGACCTACAGATGGTTGGTGCTTTTTACGATATTTTTGTTTAATTCAACTAATTCATCATCGTCACTCCCATTCAGCAGGCTTAGGCTAGTCTGGAAAAGCACCAGACGCCAGCGTTTCGACCTTCTGGGTCTCCTCAGTGGTGCGCTTCCCAGCAGACCCCGGCGGGATTCCGCCCCCATGACTTCAGGATGCCAGCAGATAGTGCCACTCTGCCATGGGTGACAGCCGCGGACCTGCGTGATTGACATTTGAGCATGATATGGCCCGGCTCATCTTCCACTGACATGCCAGTTAGGAACTGTGCAGAGGACAATCGCTAGCCTCACGAGCTAGGACTTTCCGCATAGCGCCCATGTACGACCTTGGACTTTGTAGCTATACGGACAGATTTTATAGTACTGCTTTTTGTTTATATTCCAATGGAGTTGTACAGATTCAAATATCTACTTGTTCTCACAATACAGTTTACAGTATTACATACGGCCATGACGGTTCCCAGGCGCTCATGGGTCGTTGCGTGCTTTCTGATTGCTCCTTCTCCCACCACGGGGGAGCCAATTGGAAGCGCCCCCATATATCAGAATGGCCGGCACACTACTCGTGTCCACCTCTTACCTTTTCCCTTTTCACATTTTTCTTCCACCAACAGTTTTGGATTTGGCATTTGGTTTCCTGTCAATTGAGTCGTCCTCCTCTACAATTTACTTGGTCTTCCTTCTGTGCACTCATTCATAGCTCGACACAGCCTCTTTTGTCATTGACAACCTTCTTACTTCACCACTATTTTTCAGTTTTGGTTACGATATTCATCGGGTTTTATCTTCAGTTCACCTATCTATGGCATAACGTTTCGACGCGTCGTTGTCACTCCACGACCGGTATTTCGCATGCTCCACCATTATCACATGTATTTGTCTATCGGCCTACAAATGCTTTTTCACACCTTCTCATTCCCCTTCATCTCTGTTTCGTTGGTTGCCACGTTTCAGGAAGCAACCCGTTTTTTATACCAGTGACTCACGATTGCATTATCTGTCGCTTCGCAGCCGCAAAAGCTTATAACGAGCGAACCCATTACGTTCGTCCATTTGTTCTCAGCTATTCTACACGTTCTTACAACTTTGTCCATACATTTTTGGACTTCTCCCCCTCCATCTTCTTCTTCAGATCGTCGGCACAACCTGGGACGGTGCAAAATGCTCTGTCTACGCTTAATCCCTCGCTGTTTGGCAATTCCTCCGTCCCACTTCCGCCTGTGACATCATCCATATCCCCTTTATCTCATACGCCCGCCCCGCGCCCATCTGAAAAGACTAGATTGGAGCCTTCGGAGTCGGCTCACCTCGTGCGTCGGCGATTAGAGGCTACATGGAAGGCACAGTCTGATCTGTTGCCACGCACTGAGAAGAAAAAGAAGCTCCCAGCTCCGTCGAAGCACATGGCCAAAGTTGCAGCCAAGGCGGAGTCGAAACACGTGGATCGGGATCAGCAGCGTGGTTTCGCAAGAGCTCAGCGGGATGAGATGGACGCTTTTCTCGTCAGCGATTCAGATTCCGTCTCCGATTGTAAGCAAACTCTACTAGTGCATACGTTAAATAGTTCACGTGCATATGTGGCGGGACCTCTTTTAACTGTCGTACACGTTATAGCAAGTCACTGAACACACTTAGCCTTTATCCTCTCGTTTTTGCACCTATTTTAGCTAACGTGTGTTCCCGTTCATCGAGAAAACATACATGTTTACTCTTCCTTTGGGCTGAGCCGTTGTTATTCGACGGAGCACTTTACCTGTCTTGTCTATACGTCGTACTCTAGCTTCACTGTAGTACTGTGTGGTCAACGAACTCCAACCTTTCACGCTGTGCCTTATCAATATTTGTCTGCCGCCTTTTTTCTTCATCTACATCTGGCGGCAACTTATGTTACCCTGTAAGCTCAGGATCCGAATTTTTGTTTTCACAAGTTGTTTTCCCTCTAAAACCTCAAACCAAGCTTACAACCAAATAAGAACTTATGGGTTTGGAAAATTTTGTATAGAAATAGGTTTTATAGCGTTTTGTACTCAAACGCTCCTTCAGGCCATGTGTCGCATCAAAACTCTGATCAACGACATCAGTCACATTTCTCAGCTTCGAGATGCGCCACTGCGCGTTGCTTTTATCGAAGTTTGAGCTCCAACGGTCTGCTTGATATCTAGTTTCAAAACTTGCACGGTTGTCCAGTCTCGCATGCATAGCGGACACGGCGTCTAGTCGGTTACTCTTCGAGCCAGAAATCACTTTCCTTTCAGAGCTTCTTTCCACTCGCTTTGGGTTCTAGGTAGATCACTACGCTTGAAGCTCCGTTTTGAAGTACATAAAACTACTCAAATCCGTCGGAGTTGTAGCGCTCACACAGTCCACGGGGCGTACACATTAAGTGTTACACACCCTTCGGGATGGCTGTCTTACGGAGTTCTCTTCACTGATCAATCATTCTCTCTCTCTCACTCTCTGTCCAATTTGTTTCTGTCTACTCTGCCGCTGTCCCAAAGCACGCTGACCGTGTCTGCAGTCCTATGCCACACTTGGCTACTTTATCTCGAGCTACTGTCCGATGTCGCCGATTTGTGAAATCATGCAACCTTGCATCTCAAGACTTGTACACCTTTTTGCTTTGCCATTCGTGTACGTTTTTATTGTTTCCCGACCGGAGTGAGCACAGGAACCTCACCGAGCAACGTTCAATACTCTGTGCTGGAAGTAAATCAGTCGACTCATCAATGGAATACTTCTTGTCTCTCATTTCTCGGTTCCCAGTCAACAGCATCCAACCGATTCGCTGTGGTTCCCTAATGATGGTACTTTTTCCACCATCTTTAAGCTTGTAATTCAGTACTCAGAAAATGGAACCGTATATCAAAAGCTCGAAGTGCTTTTGCTAACCTTCGCCACCTATGGCGGCGGCGCGACATCACTCGCCCTGGAGGGTGGAGTGTACAATGCAGCGGTACGCTCGACTTTACTGTACGGTTGCGAAACCTGGCCCCTAAGATCGGCGGACATTAAGAGGCTAGTTACGTTCGACCATCGGTGCCTTCGTAGTTTGGCTCACATCTGGTGGGAACACCGCGTGAGTAACGAGCGTGTTCGACGCCTTGTTTACGGCACAGAAAAAGCAAGTGAACTGCTCAGCACCGTTATTTCACGCACCAGGCTCCGATGGCTGGGCCACGTGTTGCGCATGCCAGCCCACCGACATCCGCAACGTGGGTTGTTTGCTCACCGGAGGTGTGGATGGAAGAAGAGGAGGGGTGGCCAAGCGATGACTTGGTCCAGAGGAATGAATGCCCTCACTTCGGAGCTGGCCTCGGTTGGAGCGTCTCGGCTCCCTGGTTGGGGTCCGAAAGACAATGAGCACGTTTGGTCAGATACACTTGTTGACATGGCAAGGAGCCAACCTCAGTGGCGTTCCTGCTGTTTCTTTCTCCCTCACTATCCCTTTTAGCCTCCCCCTTCAACCACGATCTCATTTCGTAGCGTAATCTAATTTTACAATAAGTTTTGTTTTTGCCTAGTAGCCGGCTGGTAGCTCAGCTGGCATGCAACTTTTGTATTTATTTTCCTTTTTCATTTATGTATTTCGGCACAGTAGCTGAGTGTTTCCCACCTCTAGCTGACGTGTATAATGATGATTAAACCCTGTCATCTGCAACCTTCGGGTCTTGCATGACAGTGGAGAATAACATGCGGTACATCGAAATCAGCTTGTAAATCACGATGGTCCGCCGCTGTCTCCCATTACTCAGTGTTATAAGCTACTGATTGGTGGTTCCAGGCGCTAGTGGCCATGGACTCGAATCCTGTTGGATGAGATTCACGATAGCCAACAGGTCGAAACGGGCGTGTAGTCCTGTTCCAGGCATATGGTGGGCTGTCGGATTTGGAAGCTACTGCAATTATGTCTCATGTCACGAGCTGCACATTCTGGTGTCGAGGAACTCTCGTGTACGGAAGGACACATTTAAGCTTGTCTTTCCTCATTTGTATACCTGGGAGTCGAACAGACGTTCCGTAACGGCACGTCCCCCTTATTGTTAAACAGTTTGTTATTCCTTTTGTTCTTTTGTATTTTGCTACATGTTTCGAAAATATTCCTGCACAGTGGCTTACAGTTCGTGTCTTTTCTTTTATCCTCCACGCCTCACGCTTGATGACTGAAGGTTCAGAAGATTCGCGAAACATGGCTCACGTGAACCAAAACGCGAAGAAGACCGCTTCAGATATCATTACGCAGCACTGTGTAAACGACTGTTCCGTTTGGACCGCACATCAGACACATGTTGAACCACGAAACTCTCAAAATCCAGTTTTAAAACACTAATCAGCCGATTGTCCTTTCCCTTCCCACCCTCTCTCTTATTCCCTTTCTTGCTGTGATGCATGACTCCTCTTCTGCCCAACCGGCTTCCGCTATTCGGAGTACCATGTGATGTACCGTTGATTCTTTATGTATTCAGAGTAGCCTCCAGATCTTGAAAATTATTCGTTTATCTATCTTCTCGATGAAATTCTAAACCCTGGGGGTGCTTATTATTTGAACCGTTAGTTATTCGCTCAAATAACGCCTCATTCGATGACGTTTCCCTTCTCCGTGGCCGTCGCATTCGTCAAAAATGACAACCTGCTACCTTAGATGTTGCTAGGTGCCGATGGCCTGATTCATTTGACACTGCTATGGTACATGGTCTCATTTGACTCAGGCAGGGATTTGCTTTGTCTTCATTCAGTTGATCCACGGTTGTATTTTTGGAGCGCACCATTGTTTCAATCGGGTATCTATGGTACTGTGATCCGGTTGTTTGTGTTCCCGTTCCCACGTCGAGTTGATAGCGGCTGCGGTATCCCACCCCCCATATGTAGCCGCTTAGACTACCGATGCTTTAACGCGTGAGCACCGTGCTTTTATTGTGACCCGGGCTGATTGACCTCCATACCTTTATGGGACGTCGTGTTGTTCCCTCTAACCGATTCGTATACTACCACCGCTTTAGCCTTCTCCCTCTGTAACTCATAGACCCACAACTTGCGCCTCAGTTTGTTCGGTGATTGTTGCACATGCGTACACTTTAATTGATACCATCATTTGTCTACAAAACAATGTTAGCTCGTTCGTCGTTAGAAAAGTTTCTGCAGCGCCCGTACACTTTCTGTCCATTCCGTTTTCCACCTTTCATTGTTACGCACCCCGTCTTGATAGCTTTTATTGGTCAGGGTGTAGAGTTGACTCATGAATTCCATGAAATCCTGAAGGGGATAGAAAGGAAATGAGGTTATGGTTGAATATCATAATGCGAGCATTACAGCCATGCTTACACTGAGACAGTCCTACTGCAAACATAACAAAACGAACACACAGCCTTAGTGGACCCGAAGCAGTGGACAATTCCTCCTCATCGGGGTACGCTCTCTTTTGACCCGTCGCCCAGCGCATGCCAACAGTACTTTATAGATGTAACGTTGTGTATACTGGATAACTTCTTATTAGCCTTTACCGTCTCGCTTAATCACGCACCACGCCCTCACCTGACAAGCAATCAGTGTTTGTCATGGTGGCTCTACTGAGATTGATCCTCAGCCACTGGTGGTCAAATACCAATAGCCCTGTGTATGTCTTCAATATTCGTTGGCTATTTCGTAGCTCCTTAACGTACCACTGGTTGCACCACAGCGGATGCTTTGTGTTTCCTCATTTCCACAGATGCCTTAGGTTGCCCATGTGCCTTCCTAGACCTACCGATATGTTCAGTAACCCATTAGGTGGTCTGGTAATTAGTGCTGACACATTTACTCATATAATTGATCTAGTCGAATGATTCAAGCGGTTGTTCCGTAATCATGAGAGATGGTTGTACCCCTCAACCCGGTATTGCAACAGCCCCTTGCGCACAGTGTAAGAGCGAGGTGCATGCTGATTTTTGCGTCTACCAGTTTTTGCACGAAAGTTGCATCAAACCGGAACAGGGCTGTGTAGTCGTCTTCGTTTGCCAGACGATTGTTTCAGACAGCACTCCGAAATAGCAACTATATTGGAACCGTCATTGCGATCCGAGCATTGGACCGTAGCAATGAAACCGTCCCGATTAACTCCGATTGTCGCGAATGAACTCAACATACGGCTGTGAACTTCACATGGCCTCAGGATTCGCACTATAGAGACGGGATGAAACGAATTGTCTCCGACAAATTTTCAATCTCTTGGTGTCACTACGGCCATGTGCGACCGGTCGAAACGGTTGCGATTATCCGCTGTCCATAAGCGTGGCATTGCTCGATACGGAAGATAATCTTTCACTAGTCCGGGTTTACCCCAGGAATCAACGATTCACTGCGTTATGATACCTACTGCTACTATATTGATATATCCTTCGACTAGTTTAGGCTATTTCCAACTGCTTGCAGTCACCAAAGTCAAATGGCGTTCTCGTTGTGCGTCGTGTGGTAGCGAACATACCAGCTACACCAATCACCAATGAATTTCCAACGTATTTGGTTGTGCCACTGCCTGTGCCCAATCACGACCTGCTTTTACATGTCTCACCATCCGAACTCCGCACTCCCGTTGCCATATGTACTTTTGGGAATTTTTAATGGTCAGAAATGTGCTCACATTTCGTTGCGTTTTTTTCCCTCACACCTCTCCTGGTCATGGAGTCACTCTGAGAGAGCACTGTGCTGGTTACACATACACGTGGTGATGCGCATTTCCGGAAGCAAGGTCGACGTTTACGCGTCGTTGTTCTACTTCTTGTAAATGTTAACGTACCATCGCATTCCCGATTAGGTCCCCGTAGGCATGGGCTTTTATTGTTGTCTGATGATCTGGTATTCCGTCCACTACAAATCAAGCATGGGTCAAACTCTCCTACCTGCGCCTCTGCCACGACCTGGTAGCCGCGATAAACTCATAGCTCAAGTTCATTGGGCAGTCAGTCCGAGGTACTGCCTACAGTGTGTATTTGATGCATCGGCCCTCAGCTCTCGTGTCTTACAATCGCCAATATCCACATGGATGAGTAGTGTCGACAGGGCTACGTCGGATGAACTGGAATCTCTTCGCTGTTACCATTCACATGGGTGTTCTTCGATGCGCTTGTTCTGTGTGCCACCCCTACTTACCGATCGGAAGGATATGAGAAGTATTTATTGGCCAAATCTCATCACCTTTTGTTGCAACTGCTGAGAAAATACGCAGCCGCTTTTAGGTCATCTATGTTTCTCTCTACATGTTTGCTCGTCACATGCTATACCGATTGAGGAGCCTGATGATGTTCACGTGTTTTTGTCAGTTAATTTTATAATGTGTACTACTTTACCAATTTTGTATCTGATCAAAACGTTAGTTGAGTTGTTGTTCCAGCCATACCTTGACTGACCGATCTCTTGATGCCAGCACCGCCAGGTGTGCCGCTGTCGTTTTCGCCGTGATTAGCCGACATCCGACCAATGGTGAGTCTTTCGGGCTATCTGGCACCTCTTCCTCACCTTTACTGGACGTTGCTTGTACTCTCACCGTCTTCGCCTGTTTTGTCTTCTTCATGCTTCGACTCTTAATTTTCTCCGGCTCATTTTTCTCAGGATTCGTTTCGGTCAGCTTTAATTCGTACCATGTGTGTTTGCCTCTGTCCGACTGCGTTCTCTGCGCTGACTCGATTTCTGTTTGTTTTTCAACTGTTCCCGCTTTTTGTTCGTTGGATGGAGGAGATTTCGTAGCCTTTAAATCAGATAACTTGCCGGTCGATTCTTCTTCGACTGTTTATGTTGAAAAATGATAGCGAAAATTAAATCCATTTAGACAACTACGTAGTGAGAAGTGGTGTTTCCAGGTATTAAATACCCAAGTTATGTTACTTTGTGTACATGACGCTGTCCTGCCAGCTTATTTCTACGCATCTGTACATAGGACAGTGTTTGATCAAAGCAATGCACCGCGTATCTACTGACAGACTCATTCATCTTGCCAAGCCTCTTAGTCAATACTGTCTGAGGTCGCGAGCATACTATTTGTTTGCTTAGCGCTATCATATGATTATCGTTACAGCTTTTATTTCTCGTGATGTAACCAGCTACATTTTAGCGCAAACCTGTAACAGTAATTTTCCTAGTATGGAGAGCAAGTTGATTATAGGACCATTTTGATTTACATGTTGTGTGACTGGATTGCGACGCAACACTCAATTTCTGTCTGCCTCGGCTGCCTCGGCTCGTGACCAAGGTTTACTTCAATGTGAATCGCGATCTACATGGAAATCGCAATCCAATCACACAACGTGTACTTCAAAATTGCCCTCCAATCAGTCGTTGACTGTTGTGCTATGCATTGCCGCCCGTTCGGGTGGGCAACACCCAATTTCTGTCTACGGTGAGGAAAGTTCCCATCCAGTGGTGTAACGATCAACCTGTACAAGTTACATAGTGAATTACAAACAAAATGTTTGAACCTGAGTTCTTGGTGGCTTTACTTGCTGTCACTGCCATTGAGAATGTGAGCTCGGGGCGGCATCTGATTGATTGCTGTTTTGCCAGCAACTCGCGATGGCTACAGCGCAGTTGTCTTTTCTTGCTTCGGTTTCCAATTGATGGTTATCCAACGATCTTGTTGCTCGATCTACCCGATCCACCTGAACCACTTGATCTGTTGCACTGACGCTTATCAACAAACTGCACGTATCCACACATGTAGTTCCTTTTTCTGTAAACCGTTTTGGCTGGGTCGCTGATATATGGAGGCTACCCACGACCTACACCACATCATTCCGAAATGCTCTATGGTGTATGTCACTAAGGTTCGCTCAATACCGAGTTCTGGGAACGCTTTGCCGCCAGTATGGGCTTAGGGCTATCTTTATTTGTTCCCTTGTTTTCCAAGCTACTGCTTTCTCGTCCTTCTGTGACCAAGGGATATCTGACTCGTTTTTCGCATTTTTGCTGCACCAACTCTGCATTCCCACTCGGTCTCACAATTACTCACTGCGCCGCTGACCTTCCTGTGTCCCAGTGAAACTTAGCTGCCCGTGGCCCATAGCGGTAAGCCAGGGATCTTGGTCGCCATTTTTTCAACCATGTTAGACGATTCATTTAGCAAGTAGAAGCCGCGATTAAACTTTGCACAATAACCTGCCTCGACGGGGAATCGAACCGCGGACATACTGGTTCGATTCCCCGTCGAGGTAGATTATTGTGCAAGTTTAATCGTGGCTTCTACTTCCTACAATATTACACCACTCACAAAAATCACCCATAATCTATATTTTTAGCCTTGCACTTTTCCGTAACCCATTCACCAGCCTCTTTCATGAGTGTCTCACGCTGTAGAGGGCACTTCTGCCCCATCAGTCACATCGTAAATCCTCCTGCCAGACACTCTAAGCGGCTGCAGTATACTGGACGCTGACTCTAAACTACTATTTCACCCCAGTAAATGCGATTCCGATACCCGCGCTGTTCACTCGCAAATCCTTGTGATAAATGCCCGTCCGTCTGTATTCTTTACGTCCTGGCGCGTGCGCATTAGATGAGGTGCCCACTCCAGCCAGACACCAACTGCGTGGTTGGGATTCCTGTCGTTTCGCCGCATCTCATGCTCCTCTACGTGACTACTCCAATATCGATTCGTCCATAGAATGCGCGGACTACACAGCACTATTTTGGCCGGACCCACATTCTGTACGAGCGCTTTTCGACACGTCGACTCATGCCGCCACACACGTTGGCTTGTGTTTGTCTCATTCGAAGTGCTAAGTACTACCGCAGGAGTAGGCCGACATGCCCAGTGAACAATTTTTGTGTACTAAATAAATAAATAAACGATTTGCTCTCCGCGGAGCGAAACGCGCCAGTACAGGCATAGTCAGTGTCGTCAAGGTGGGAGCTGTATAATTTGTCTAAAAAAATTATCATAGCACCAATATTCGAGCACCTGGTGCTGACTGACGTCGAGGAGTCACTCTGACTTACGATTTATGTCAGTCAGCAACACTCGTGACTTGACTTGACTTCTATATGGTTGGCAGCATATGGTTCCGGACTTGCCTGTAACCGGCCTCCATTGGGACAGCCAAAGGACTCCTTCGCCTACAGAGAGACCATGGGTGCCTTGCGTTGGACTGCCCCCACACCCCATATCCGGTGTAAACCCGAAAGAATAAGACCGAGATCTACTGAGGTTTGACGATCAAGTAATGTGCTTAGATGCATACTTCTGACGCGTATGCAGGATAGGATATTTCTGCTTGTCAAGCAAGCGTTGACGCGATGGAATCGAATGAACAAGAGTTTAGGACTAGAACCTCCAGGTACTACTTTACAATAGTACCTGGAATACGGTGAGTGGATACGCGACATCCACCGTCACAACCACGGTCGATGTACCTAGACGACATTGGTGACAGGGACCCACAAAACACTCGAACTGCACAATACGGGTAGAAATAGAAACACCGTGTCACTGTTGATACCAACAACGCAGAAGAAATGGTTTGGAGAACGTAAGCATGGACGTGTGTAACACCGTGGTAAGCTACCGCATAACTCACCTGCAATAATGAGGTGCAAGGGTAGAATTGGCCAGATTAGGACATCAGATCAACTAAGAACTCAAGTCGACCAGGGTATGTACAACGGTTGAGTTCATTGCTTACTGCGGAAAATCCCGTTTTCAGCACCCGATGGACACAGTTCCGTTCTCATAGACACTACTTAATGCACACAGTAAATGGGCGCCGATCTTCGATCATTTCCGATTAATACTGCCTGCAAGTGTAATGGACGCTAAGGTGCCACTTAAAGTTCTACGACAGATGATCAACGACTGATCCAAATTAACCACGTAGCTCTAAGATCTATGTGATGTAATTCGGTCTTTGGTTGTCAATAAACTTTTAAATATGCTTTGCAGTAGAATCCAGAATACCCTATGCTTTGATACCTTCGTTCCCTTGAATGAACATAGCTGCAGCTGGTATGACTCCAATGACATTGCGGTTGCTGTCAAATAAACTGGGAATTACAGGAAGAAGGCTAGTAATGGGGATTGGGAGGGGATTAAAAGGAACGGTTGGAAAGGAAAGACGGGAGACGCCGGCAGCAGCATGTTTTCGTTTATCCGCCCTGCTGTATGCAGCAGATAAAACAACTCTTGATAATCGCGGCGTCTGGTGCTTTTCCAGACTATCTTAAGGATGCTGATTGGGAGTGACGACGATGAATTAGCTGAATTAGACCAGAAATCCTCACTACTACTCATCAATATGGTTGGCGGCATCCGGTTTCGAATTTGCCTGTCACTGTGGCCAGCCACAGGACGCCTGCGCCTACAGAGGGACCATGGGTGGCTTGCGCTGCACCACCCACACTTCCAACCACATACCCCATATCCAGTGTAAACCCGAAGGAATAAGACCGGGAGGCAAGTGGATGGGAACCACGTTTCATCAACGGAGCCGGCCCACACTCCTTTAACGTGCACAGCAGCAGTATTCCTGTCGATCTGTGTGGGTTATTATGTATAGCAGAAGTACACAGGCCGGTGATTTTGCGGTGGTCCCGTCCACACTGAATGGAACCACTCTGAGTCAATGCACGGTCACGAGGACCGTGCATTCCTTGTCCCTTCCCCTGCAGCAACCATTAGCAATCTCCTGGAGCCAGTAGTCGAGGTGGAAGATGATAGACAGGTAAGCACTTTGTCAACATTCACATCAAACGCAGTCACACCGCTGGTACAGAACAACCAACATGGCGTTTGAAGAAAAATACACATGCATAATCGATACGGAATATGCAGCAGAGTGACGTAACTGAGCAAATCAAATAGAAGGGAATACTTTTTATTCTAGTTAAAAGAATCTGGTTTACTTGTAATCGGTGTTGCCCAGCTGCGGTGAAGAAACATGGTGTATGCAGAACCAACCTCAGCATGAGGCATAAAGTGTATATACAGCGTGTCAAGCTGCAGTCAAGGGGACTTAGCACTTTTAACGCTTGCATTTGAATGTGCCTCAAACCCACCGTTTAAATTAAGCTTACTGTGGGTGATTTCCATTTTATGTTGAATGTATGGTTCATGTAATCTTTTCGTTAGAGATTCCAAATGAATTTCAGGCAACAACAGGTTTCCAAACCTACCAGTGGTCACGGTGCTCTGGATCTCAGTTTTACTATGGACATGCGTGTTGTTAGTACTGCTTTTCTTATACAAGTACCTAGGAAGGATCATCGGGTTATCAAATTTTGCCTACGGATACGCACGTTCGACGCACACTTCCTGGTGCATTATAATTTTGTGGTGACACAAGAACAAGTGTTACTGCGCTATAAGTCAGTAATATAGGGGTACTGTGCTAACCGGACGGAATCGAGTCAACAACGGACCAATCCGATGTCCGAACACGAAGAGAACGCTTGGAGGCCGCAGGCTGATGTGCACTAGGAGGAAGTACAGATGCTTCAAACAAGAGCACACAACTCAACTGACAGAAAGACGTTCGCACATGAGTGTTATTTGTGGTCAGCACGAACGTGACCAACACGCGTGCTCCTGGATCCTATTGTGGTGGATTAGAGGTAGATACTACTGCGCCGGGTATAAGTAGTGTGGTGGTGCAAGATGACACATCAACAGCGAGCCCTGCCGACTTCCCCAAAGTTGAAGATGACATCAGGATTACAGTTCCATGCGCACGAGGAGTGAACACAGAGGCAAGCACCAGTTGGGGAGCACTCCGTGGAGATCACGCAGATGAGCGGACGCC